ACCTAACGCATCATAGAAGGTCAGTACCACCAACATCCTAATAACGTGACCCACAGTACACAAAGTAGGACTACGCACCAAAGCTTCAGAATCCATATCCAATGCGTTGATAACATCCTTACCAGCGTAGCGACTGCGAAACTTCGTCCTACCGTGTAGAACAAAGAGACGTAAGGTAGGTTGCATAACCCCCCAAACTTCTGGTAGTATCATAACAGACCTCAGTACCGGGATATTCATAACCAACCATTCGAACGAATTCATATCCGCCTGCTGGAGAGAAGGAACCGCCAAAAACCCCAACCAATCAACATGGAGATAAGGTAAACGGTTACGACTCTTACTAGAACCAGCACCTTTTATAGCATCGGAGGTATACTGATAATTAATGGTGGGACAACGGAATCGTTGCTGATGAACAACATCAGAATAAGACACATTAGGAGTCAAAACCACATGACGCAACTCATCAATAGGCTTAATACCCGTATCAGCATCGATAGGGCTTCTATCACAAAGCTTCTTGACCAACTTTTCAAGAACTTGACCCCTCTTATCAGCAACATCCCTGTTCTGGTCGGCATACTGAACTGCTTCATCCAACAACTCGATGAAGGTAACCATCTCCTTGGTATCGATAGACTCATCCTTACTAATCTTCTCGAAGCGAACCATCAAATCATCGATAAGCATACCCATTATCGTAGAGAATGAGAAAAAACCCAGTAAAGAGAGCACCTGTATCAACACAGTAAGTGCTTCTCAACCCCCACAGATAGATAACCACCAATAGAATACTAGCGGCTTCAATAACCGACGGATAAACGCGAGATATCGAGAGAAACCCCTCGAACGACAAACCCGCGATAAACCGTTCCTCAAGACTACTGAGCGTCACCCAGTCTATACAGAGCTGAGGACGTAACACTCAAATACTCTACTGACGTCTAAAATTCCTCAACGTAGGTATACGACTCACACTCCCTTCGAGAACAATGAAGGAACAATGAAACGGCTCGCAACAATAACCGCGCGACCGAAAATAAGGGAATCGCAAGA